TTTGAGGTAAATATACCTTTATATGACATTTGTTTGGATATATTTGTGTAATTTAGGAGTTTCCATAATTTGCGTTTGCAGCTTGTTTGGATCCTAAATGCAGGAAACTGGGAAAAGCTGATTTACAAACAGTTTTGGACAAATCTTATGGTAAATTTATTCATTTCAGTCAATGTGATATCATTTTAATGTTAACATAAAGAAAAGCTTTAGACGGTCTGACAAGAAAGCAAACAGAATCAACACTGCAAAAAATTTAAATCTAAATAAGTCATTTTTTCTTCAAATAAGAGCATTTTCTCTTGAATTTAGGCGATAAGTGAAATGGAACAAGGCAGTTTAGATTTTAAAAAAGAAAAAAAGACAAATGCATTGTCTTAAATCAAGTGCATATTATTATCTTATTTTAAGATAAAGGTGATTTATTTAAATGTCAATTTTTGCAGTGTTCCTAAAGTCAACCACAATTTTAAACATTTGCTTTAAAAAAAAAAAGCAAAACAGATTAAAACGTTAAAATGCTTCGATCATAGATTTTAATGTACATTAAAATATTAGAAACTGGTTTTTAAGTCATATCACTGCTATGAAATAAAAGTATATTGCGATCTATATTGGTACGGAATTTATAATTAAGTATTATTATTATGATACCTCAGTGTGAACGGATGGATTTATGCAGAGAAATGAAGCCAATGAAACAGAAAACCTGTTTGCATTCAGACTCTCATGTAGGATAGAAATAATTCCCATAATTGATGACTAACTTTGGATAAGAGGAGTCTCCCAATCCTAGAACCGCACAGTCTAGACAGCTCAGAGATCCAACAGGCAGAGACTTCCTGAAGAGAAACCTCCAGAAGTTCTGGGAAGAAATGGAAAAAAGAAATGACTCAAACAGTTTTCTTCTCATGTGGAGAAAAATCTGAATGAGAAGAAAAAAAAAAAAAAACCCTCCAGAGAACGAAACTGTCCTTCATTACTGAAATAAACATGTACCTTCATGTTGTCTGGAGGGTCTCCCTGTCCTGTGGTGGAACAAACAAAGACCACCAGAGACTCCGAGATCAGGTCGGCCTGGAGGACGAAACCATTAAGCTTTACTGGTTTATATCAGACACAGGAGGTCAAACTGGGATCAGACATCAGGCTCCTTCACTGATTCCAGGGTTAAAATCAGTCCTCTTCAGCAACAGGACTTTATAGTACATTCAACCAAGAGCGGCTGGTCTGTATTCTCTACGTTCTCAAGAGTCTTTGCTTCTGACTGTAACTAGTATCCGCACTGAAGCTGGAAAGACAGCTTTTCAGTACTCTGCCCCCACAGCATGGAACAATCTTCAGAAAGACTGGAAGTCGAAGGATTTGATTCCAATCGACATTTTAAACGATTGCTCAAAGGTTTGGAAATTAGATCTATGCTTTGTAACTGTTTTATGAATTTCTAATTATAGATAAATGTAATTGTAAACTGTAATGTAATTTGTAATGTAATCTTTTGCCGCTGTCTTGGCCAGGACCCCCTTAAAAAAGAGATTGTTAATCTCAATGGGACGTTTCCTGGTTAAATAAAGGAATAAATAAAAATAGAATATTAGAAACATAAAGAAACTCCTTTAAGCGCCACAATAAACAGACTCACCACATTGTAACCATCCAGAGGAAGAACCCGGACCTTCAGATGCCTCCTCTGGGCTTGTCGGCCAATCCTGTGGGCCGTGTCCTGGGCCGTCCCGGTCTGACTTCCATACAGAACCAGCAGAGCCGGATCTGACATCACTTCTGAGCCCGAGCACACAATAAAAAATAAAAATAAAATAGAAAAGCAGAATAAACACAAAGATAATCTCATCTTCTCCCTTTTTATATGGAATACATCCAGTCTGCTGACATTTTGACTCATTAAGGAACAATCTAAACAGAAGTCTGACAGATGGAGCTGAAATCAACAAAAAGATCTAATCTCTGGACAGTTTATTAAATTAAATTCTTTCAGTTT